CCAGTGTGGCCCACGTTCAAAAGCCAGCATGCAAGTGCCTGGCAGGACATGGTAGGACATCTGACTCCCTTCAACTGCTCTCAGTTGAGGGTACTTTTTCCACTTAGGCCTCAGCTCCTGCATTTGCAAAGGTGAAATGGAAATCAAGAGGAGAAAGATGCATAACTCTAGTCTCCAATGCAGATTCCTGAGCCATTCATGGGTCAGGCTGGAAGGGGCAGGGAACAAGGTATTAAACTGGATTTGAGAATTAAGTTTTGATCGGACTGGACTTCTTTTTCTTCTTTTTTTTTTGAGGTTGAGTCTTATTTTGTCTCCCAGGCTGGAGTGTAGTGGCATTATCTCAGCTCACTGCAACCTCTGCCTTCTGGGTTCAAGCGATCTTCCTGCCATAGCCTCCTGAGTAGCTGGGACTACAGGTGCCTGCCAACACACCTGGATAATTTTTAATTTTTTGGTAGTGATGGGGTTTCACCATGTTGGCCAGGCTGGTCTTGAACTCCTAACCTCAGGTTCAGGTGATCCACCAAACTCGGCCTCCCAAAGTGCTGGGATTACAGGTGTGAGCCACCACACCCAGCCTGGACTGGACTTCTAGTGTCTGATGAGAGTCTTAGTTGAAAGTAACTGAAAAGCTAAAAGATCTACTGAGATATTGCCCAGGGCAGAGGATAACGTTCTGACGGTGGATCTCAGGGCTGACAAGCAGTGGAAGAAGGAAAAGAAAGCCAGTTCTTGATTTTCACCCATTTGTCCTCCAGCCAAATCTAGCTCATTTGGTAGCCCAATAACAATTTATTCCCATTGTTAATAAAGCCACTCTGAGACATGTAGCCTTCAGAGTTAGTATGCAGTTTCTGGAGTGAAATACATCAATGATAATAACAGCATCAACAGCAACAAAATTCTCATCCGTCAGCTCTCGTCCTTTGTAATTGGTGACATTCTTATTAGTTTGAGGTGCAAAGCCCTCCACCAGAGGGATCAAACTCAAAGGCCTACAGGGGCTAGGGAGGTGATATAAATAATGTAGGTGTAGGACTAGGTGGGACTAGAGAGTCTGTGTCCCACCTGAAAGGACAGGTACCTCTCTTCCAATCAATTGTTGCCCGGTGTAGCTAGATCTTCCCATTTTCCCAGAAAGTCCAGAGATGTGCATTTTTTGGGTAGTACCTCTTCATTTTGGAACTACTGGCAAGAGCATTAGTCAGGGTTCTTTGTTGCCACTGACACAATCTACTCTAGGTAGTTTAAGCAAAAGTGGTGAATTGTGGTCCCTCTCCCCTGCCCCAAATCATATGTTGTAGCCCTAACCCTCAATGTAACGGTATCTGAAGATAGGATCTTCAGGAGGTAATTAAGGTTAGATGAAGTCATAAGAGTAGGGCCCTAATCCAATAGGACTATTGGCCTTATAAGAACAGGATGAGAGAGAAAGAGAGAGAAATAGAGAGAGATCTCTCTCTCTCTCTCTACCATAGGAGGAGACAGCAAGAAGGTGGCCGTCTGCAAGCTAGGAAGAGAGCCCTCACCAGAACCCAGAACCTGACCATGCTGGCATCCTGATTTCAGATTTCCAGTCTCCAGAATAGTGAGAAAATAAATTTCTGTTGTTTAAGCCACCCAGTGTTTTGTTATGGCAGCCACTAAGACAGGTGTTTGAAAACTCTGTGTAATCTCCAGGAGGACAAGAAAGCCAGGTGCTAGCTGTGCAGCCAGAAATGACTCCCAAAACAACTGTGGGGCTGCCCCTGCGAACATGTGCCATGCCTTTCACCATGGACAGCAAGCTTACAGAAGGGTGGGAAGCGGATGCCTTGGCTGCCAGGCCTACTATCAGATAGATTTCTCCCTTTTGTTGCTCACTTCCTGGCATAAATCTCATGTGATCTTCTAATAGCACAGCCTAGATCACATATGACCTGATTTCCAGAACCTTCCTGGAAAAGTGCTTTGTTTTCTCTGAGGGAAAGGTGGAACTCATAATGTGAGGCATCTTCCAGACATAGGAAGAGTATGCGTTTGTGAACTGCTTAAAGCCCTGCCAATTGATGACATCTGACCCATGGACTACTTTCATTGTTTAAACTTCCACTTCTTCTGAGAACAACTAGAAAAGCCAGATTAAATCATCACCATCATCACCATCTGTTAAAAGACATTCAGAGAACTGTTGAACTAACCAGGACTTAAAGAGCCAAGATTCTGGAGACAGGGTCACTGTGGTGAGGTGAGCTGATGTTTTGCAGCTGATTTTTCCCTGGAGATATTTGCACATTTGGGCACAGGGAAAGAGGCTGAGGTTCGAGACTTTTCCCAGGCATGAGGGCTGCTTTGGGGGAACAGAGAAACTGACAAAACTTTTAGCAACCTCATAGGGCTAGAAAGACAAAACTGGAGACTTGAGAGGCTATTATTTCAGGGAGAAGAGAGGGGCAGAAAAGCGAGCCTGATAGATGGTGGTTTCCCCCTCAACATATTTGGCAAAGTTTGAAATAGTGAAGGGCAAGGAGCAAAGAAGCCAAGCAGAAGGTCCCTGAAAAACAGAGCAGTTTTCACAGTCTTGCCATGCTGTGAAGATAAGGGTTAGAGCTCAGGACCAGGGAGAGGGGTCTTAGTGAACACCCAAGGTTGCTAGTTGGAACCCTGGAAAGGCAAAGCATTAGAGGTAGGGGCCAGAGCGAAGTGGTATCTTACCAAAAGTATAACCCAGTCTCCACCCAGCTCGGCCCCTGATTGGATTAAGATGATTGATCTGCACGCCATTTGTCTTGCAGAGAAAGAGTGTGCCCTCTCCAAAGTTAGAAAATATCACCTGGAGACTACATTTTTTCATACACGATATCTGACATTCAATAAAAAATACAAGGCCTGCCAAGAGACAGGACCATATCACTGAAAATAAAGGAAACATAGTCAATAGAGACCTACAGGGGATCATGTTATTGGAGTTAGACAAACGCTTTAAAATAACCATTATTAACATGTTGAAGAAAAATAAAAAGATGGAGAAAATAGATGAAAAGAGATAATTTTCCAGAGAATTGGAATCCATAAACTTCATGGTCCAAAAGATTTGAGAACATAGAGAATGTGCTTCACCTGCTCATTGACAGATGTTGAAAATACTGACTCAGTTCTGTATAGCTGTAAAATCCCGTGGCTTATAGCCTTTTTTTTCTCCTCCTTCTTCTTCTTCTTCTTTTTTTTTTTTTTTTT